ATGGCAAGGAAGAGAATACAAATTGGCACAGATTATTTTGCTTCAGTAACTCTGCTACTTTAGTAGCTAGAGGACAGCCTTGATTGTAAAGAAGCAATATGTTGCAGGAGGAAGGTCAGATGGGTCATTATTTTTGTCTTGAAAAGTGCAGCTGGCTGGGTAGACACAGAGGTGAGTAAGGATGGACCTGGGGAGAGGCAGATGCTGACAGAGGAGGGGAGCACAAGAGAAGGTGAAGGGAGGATTTACAATGGGCTTGGAGGTGCTTAAACAAATACAGAAAACAGAATCAGGTAAAAATTCTGTGGGAATGCTGGAGGACCTGGCTGGTGTCCAATCACTCTGACTCACAGCGACCCCATGGAAGCAGAGTAGAGTTGCTCTCTATGATTTTTCAAGGTTGTGACCTTTTGGAAGCAGATAGATAGGGCTGTCTTTTGAGATGCCTCCGGGTAGGTTCACACTGCTCTACTTTTTGGTTAGTAGTTGAGCATTTAACTGTTTGTGCCACCCAGAGCCTGATGTGGGGAAGTGTCTGGGAGTGAGTACTCCTTCCCTTTCAGAAGAGTCTTCACTTTCTGTTGGTAGCCTGTTGATCACTTACTCTTGCTGGAGAAAGTAATCATATTTCTCACCCAGGGTATTTCAGGGTATTTTGCTTTCTGTTCCACCATCTCCTTACCTTCATCCCAGCAAAAGCCTACATCACACAGCACGAAGGCGACTCTCATGCTTCTGAGTGCAAGAGTTCAGCATGGAGCAGAGGGAAGCAGAGTATGCTAAATGTCACCAACTTCAACTTTTTGCCTACGGTCAATTCCTGTAGGATAAACACTGGACTGCTAACCACAAGTTCGGTGGTTCCAGCCCACTGGCAAGAGAAAGATGAGTCTTTCTGCTCCTATGAAGATTGGTAACCTTAGAAACCCTAGACAGGGTCGCTATGAGTCAGAACCGACTCTTTGGCACCTACCAATGAGTCCTGTACAAGGTTGTCTGTTTCTTTTTCAGTCCTTCCATTTTTGCTCCGTTAAAGCTCATATAGACAGACCTACCTCGGAAACCCTGTGCAGGGTCACTGTGAGTCGGAACTGACTCCACGGTACTTAACAACAACAACAGTTACATGGAGGCCTGGTATGGCACTGCGGTTTAATACATCGGGCTACAAAGTCGGTTTGAACCACAAGGTTGGTGGTTGAAGCTCACCCAGTTGCTCCTCAGAAACCCTATACAGGGTTGCTATGGGTCAAAACCGACTTATACAGTACTTCACAACAACAATAACATTTACATGCTGATTTCCTTTGAATGGTACAGACAAGTGCTGTGGGATAGGCAGAGAATTATGAGAAATTGCTTAGCATCATGCTTGCTACATAGCTGAGGCCATTCTGACTGAGACAACAAAGACAGTGACATTTCTAACAACAATAAACTTACTTAAGATGTCAGAAAATCCAGGCTTTTTTTTTTACAGGAATCCTTTTGAAAATTATTTTAACTGATGACAAAACTGACATTACTATTTCATAGATTTTCCACTCTCCTTCTCGCCCATGAATGAGTTAGTTAACAACCAAAGGAGCAGCCACCAGCTTGACATTAGGAACGAGATGCCAAAAGCCCAGATGGTCCACATTCTAGATAATTAGCTTCTGAAGGAGAAACAACATCTAATAAGTCTTCTGTGAATGTAGAGTTTGGTTGGGCACAGCTGGGGCATAGAATGAGCAGGCTTCCACAGAAACTCTTTTTACCAAGACTTAGTAAGCCTGCAGAAGCCTCACCCACTTCCCATGGACCATAACCGACTGACAAGACCTCCAGGGAAGAATTCCAAATGAATGATGTAGATAGCCCACCCTAAAGAGGTCCTGGTGTGGTGCTGGAGAATAAACACTGGATTGCTAACCTGAAGGTTGGTTGTTCAAACCCACCAGCCACTCCTCAGAAACCTTATACAGGGTCACTATGAGTTGGAACCAACTCCATGGCACTTCACAACAACAACAAAGAAGGGGAAGCATAACTCTGCACTCTACAATGAAGTCAGTGCATACTGACTTCCTTCCATGGAAAGGAGATAAAAAGAGTAAATTTATAGTACAGAAACCTGATAAACACTAAAGTCTGTATCAATAGTCATAAGCATGTTGCTAGCATGAACCCTTGATATGCAGTGATAAAAATGTCATTTCTGTGATCTTCTTCCCCCAACCCTTAATCATGACAAAAACAGAAATTCTAAAAGAGAGGCAGGCAATCTTCAATACCCATGACAAGTACTCCTTAAAACTATCAAAGTCATAAAAACAAGGAAAGTCTGAGAAACTGTGACAGCCAAGGGGCACTTAAAGAGGTATGATGACTAAACGTAACATATTCTGGATGGGATTCTGGAACACAGAAAGGACAGTAGGTAAAAACAAAGGAAATCTGAACAAAATGTTGCTGTTAAATGCTGTGGAGGTGATTTCTGAGGCTGTAAATCTTTGCAGGAGCAGAAAGCCTCATCATTCTTCATGGAGTGGTTGACAGGCTTGAACCACCAGCCTTTTGGTTCACAGTCCAGTTCTTATTGTACAGAGCCACCATACTCCCCAAATAAAGTATTTGTTGCTGTTGTTGCTAAGTGTTGTGTATTAGGATTAACAACAACGTTAAGCGCTGCTAAGTCGGTTCTGACTCATAGTGACCCTGTATAGAGTTTTCTGAGGAGCAGCTGGTGGATTTCAACTGTCGACCTTGTGGTTCACAGTTCAGTGTTGATCCTATAGCACCACACCAGAAGTCCAAATAAAGTATAAACTTAGTTAATAATAATATATTAATTGTTGGTAAGTACCGTGGAGCCGGTTCCAACTCATAGTGCCACTGTACAGGGTTTCTGAGGCTGTAAACCTTTACGAGAACAGAGCGTCTCATCTTTCTCCCACGGAGTTTCGAACTGCTGACCTTGAGGTTAGCAGCCCGTTTCATAACCACTACGCTACCAGAGCTCCTTATATTAATATTGGTTTATTAATTACAACAAACTTATTACTACTGTAATAAGTTAAAAGCAGTGTGTAGGAGTGGGTGGGTTAGATTATATGAGAATTCTGTACTATTTACTTAAATTTCTGTAAATCTAAAGCTGTTATAAAAATTAAATTGATCAATAATAATACAAGAGATATGGGTCAATAGTACCTCCAATCCTACAGGCCTGGTGGGGATTTCCTCAGATCTTTGTCTTTTGGGTTTTTCTCCTTCTGAGGCACTTACATTGCATCCAGGGCTCCTCAAAGGAGATCTTATCCTATATATACCCTTTCCATGTTCTCAGCTCTCTGTCAGGCCACGGTGATCTCATTCACACTCATGACTTCAGTCACTGTCTTCTGGTGACTTCCAAATCTTGTCTGGTTCACATCACTGTCCATCCAACTTTCTATTACACAGCGCCCTCTAGATGTTTATTTCAGCATGTCCAAAGCAAACCCCTAATTTCCTCTAAAATCTACACCTCTTTCATTTCTCGTCTTTCACTTAAAAGGCCAGAACCCTGGGCATCATCCCTGACTTCTCTTTCTCACAGTCCCCTACCATTTCTGTCAATATCTCCTGCTTAGGCCTCTCTGCTGTGTTCTCCTCTTCATCCCCAGGCCAGGCCTTCAACATAACCAACCTTCAGGTGTTCCCTTTCCTATACCTTCTTTGCTTGATTCCTTGCCTTCTTTTTTTGGCTCTACTGCAGCTGCTGACATGGGAAAATACATAATTTGTCTTGGGCCTCACACCAGAAAGTTCCATGGCTCCCTTCTACTATAATTTCTCATCATGAATTATTTTTCTCTTATCTTCTGGGGTGTATTCATTTAGCTTTTGTGTTTGAGGCAAAATACAAGGAATTAGCAGCAGAGTAATCACAATCTATTGAAAAATTTAACAAACTATGGGGACAGAGCCCATTTTAAGTGTTCCATCTATATATTATTAGCCAAGTTTTCTGTGTCCACATGAACAGACCCAAGAACTACCTTTGAAGAGGGTAACGGAAAAAGTTGACATAAGATCACATGAACCCCAACCTTCAAGACCAAAAGCTGGTGCCCAGCTACCACTGCTGACTGCTCTGAAAGGGATCACAATAGGAGATAGAGTGTGTGTGTGTTTGTAGGGGGAGTGGAACAAAACTCAACATCATTTAAATAAGACCAGACCAGTAGGTCTAATAGAGACCGGTGGAACACCGTTCCCCCTCTCTACAGAAGTACCTTTAGAGGCACTTCAAGCCTGGACTTGAACTCACTACTTGGCTCAACTTTCAACCAAACAATAAACTGGCTACAAACTGAACAATAGCACCAGGGAGGTATGCACTCCCTAGAACAATCAATGATATGATATCAAAAGGGCAGCGTTTGTCTAGGAATGAAGCTAAAAACCAGGAAGGCAAAGGAGAACTAAGGGGAATGATAAACACAGGTAGGACGGGGAAGAGTACTGTTACATTGTGGGGATTGCAATCAATGTCACGAAACAAAACGTGTATGAAATGTTGAATGGAAAACCAATTTGCTCTGTAAACTTTTACCCAAATCATAATTTTAAAAATAAAAAGATGGCTGCAGAATTTAGCCAAATTAAACCTGAAATAAAGAAAAGCAAGACCTCAAGTGAGGGTGTCTGAAGATAACGAGGAAACTTACAAATATGTGAGAAAATAGTAAAGGAATTCGAGGAAACTAAAATGAGATCCTTAAGAGCTCCTTAGGGGAATTTAATTAGAAATTCTATTAAGAGTATAATAAGGGAACGCCCGTCCCATCGAGCCAGCCAGGAGTCGAACCTGGAATCTTCTGATCCGTAGTCAGACGCGTTATCCATTGCGCCACTGGCCCCGAGACGCTTAGCCCCGTCTTACTGACGACACTTCAAGCTTATACTGCAGGGTTTCACGGGATGTGTAAGTCAACGAATTCTGCACAGGCATAAAGCATTGTGGGAAATCGAAGTTCGTCACGAATCAGACTCTGAGATTGGTGGATCGTCGGGAGCCACGCCATACGTCACTGTAGAGCCCGCGGATTGGCGGAAGAGCCATTTCCCATCTCTCCGTCTACTGTTAGCAAGTTGTAGGAGACACTCCGGTTGTTAAGGCGACTTGTCCCGCCTTCTGGGGGCTTTTTCTTGGGCTTTTGATTGGCCACTGGTATCAAGGAATCCCGGCGTGGGTAGCGCGAGGGAAAAGATGGCGGCTATGGCGGTCGGGGGTGCTGGGGGGAGCCGCGTGTCCAGCGGAAGGGACCTGAATTGTGTCCCCGAAATAGCTGATACATTGGGGGCTGTGGCCAAACAGGGGTGAGAACCTGGAGCTCCGCGTGGGTCCGAACTCGAGGACCGAGAGGGGCAGACTAGTTATTCCTGAGAGGCACAAGTGAGGGAGTCGAAGTGGGTAGGATGTAGGCGGGAGAAACCTCGGTTCCAGGAGCAAGAGACAAGAAACTTATTTGAGCTAGTGGTCACTTAGCCCAGAGTCATGGGTATTGTTGGATAAACCCAAAAAGAGTTGTGATTATTGTCTGGGAGTGGGGAGAAAGTGTAAGGAATAAGAGGGAGAAGAAAAGAAAGGGGAGACAAGGACAGTATTGGGGCAGATTTGCATGTGACTGTCCGGAAAGCCAGTGACTACAGAGTAGAAAGAATTCTACTTGGTTTGGATTGCCATTTTTCCTTATCTTTTCTATGGCAGATTTTTTTGGAGCGGGTGGTAGTATTGAGGCACAGTGCAGCAGAAGTGATTTGCTCCTACAGCCTAGTGGGGTGATGGATGGCAAGCTTGAAAGGGCTCTGTGCAGAACTGAGGTAGTCTAAATCCAGTTGCTTGGATCCTTTGGGCTCTGCTGTTCTCTTTACATGGTGACTCTGGGTCTGTCGCGGTTGTAGGTTTGATTTCCTCTGCATGCCTGTCTTCCACCCGCGTTTCAAGAGGGAGTTCACTCAGGAACCTGCTAAGAATCGGCCTGGTCCCCAGACACGATCTGACCTACTGCTGTCAGGAAGGGGTAGGGACCATCCCATGTGCCCCTTAATTTTTAGAGGCAGTAACAACTTCTATTTTATTAGGGCCCTTCTTCTCCTCCTTTCCTGATTTGGGAATATTAGTTGACCCCTGGGAATTAAATACTTTTCATGCTTATTTGCTAAAAGCCGTAGTTTCCTATTCTGAATCAGTCTAGCCTATCTGTGATAGAAAAAACCTTTGGATCTCATCTCTACTTTATACTCCCTAAGAAATAGAAATTTAGCAAGAGTAAAGTGTTGAATTTCATTTAGTCTTTTGTCTTTCATGGCTGGGGGATTACAGACTGGAATACACTAATTGTCGGGAAGCTGTCTCCATGGATCCGTCCAGACTCAAAAGTGGAGAAGATCCGCAGGAACTCAGAGGCGGTAAGGGTGTTTCACCTCTCTGCTGGGTTGTGCTAAAGATTCAATCTGTGACCCGGTTGGTTGAAGAAAGCAGTTTCTCCTCCTGTAACTTGGTGAATCATGGGTCTGATACTGTGAGAGTTAAAGCTATTGGAGTTGCTAACGCTTAACCTTTTCTTCTTGCTTTCTCTGTCCAGGCCATGTTACAGGAGCTGAATTTCGGCGCATATCTGGGTCTTCCAGCTTTCCTGCTACCCCTCAATCAGGAGGATAACACTAACCTGGCCAGAGTTTTGACCAATCACATCCACACTGGCCACCACTCCTCTATGGTATGACTGAAGAATTCCTTTCCTGCTGCATATTATGCAAGTCTGACTGCAGCCAGTGTCCTCCTGTATCTAGCCAATAGAGCATAAACTTGGTAGGATTAAAATGTCAGTAATGGCACCCTCAAAATAAAAGTGGTATGCACAGAGTTATGAAGCATATAGAATATGTAGTCCTTTATATAAACTTACGAGTGGAAATGAAGGATAAGCACTGGACTGCTAACCACAAGGTTGACAGTTCAAATCCACCAGCTGCTCCTGTAAAGGGTTGATATGAGTCGGATCTGATTGGATAGCATCTCAACAGTAATGTACACAGACTCCTGATGTGGTGCTGTAACATAAGCACTGAACTGCAAACCACAAAGTCAGTGGTTCAAACCCTTTGGCTACACCTTGGAAACCCTAAGTGGTTGTTATGAGTCGGAATCGACTCAACAGCACTTAACAACAAGGTACAATCAAGAGTTAGGAAAAGCATGTTAAAGGGATTTACTTGAGATCTGGGTCAAGATGTTTTACATGTTAATTTCTAAACATGATGAGTTCAAAATAGAGTTCTAAATCGCGTACCTATTCATGTGCAGTTCTGGATGCGGGTACCGTTGGTGGCACCAGAGGACCTGCGGGATGATATAATTGAGAATGCACCTACTACACACACAGAGGAGTACAGTGGGGAGGAGAAGACATGGATGTGGTATGCCTCCCTTTGATGCTTCTATACAAGGGCAAAGGGTAGGGTGAGGGGACGTATAGGTGGAACTTTGAGCTCTGTGCATTTGACTGTATTTTGCTATATTTGACCCTGTACAGGTGGCACAACTTCCGGACTTTGTGTGATTATAGCAAGAGGATTGCAGTGGGTAAGTCCATGAGGGTCCTGGGGCAGGTATCCTTTCTCTGACCATGTTTGAATAGGAATTAGGAATTAAACTGTCATGTAAGTTTGCTACTTTCCCTGTTCCTCAGTCAATCTTGCTGTTAAGAAAGGAGTAAATAGGCCTTACACAAAGCAGTAAAGTAGGGCTGTTTGCTTGGCAGAAGTCAACAGGTCTTTCTCTTTCCTTGTGCAGCTCTTGAAATTGGGGCTGACCTCCCATCTAATCATGTCATTGATCGTTGGCTTGGGGAACCTATCAAAGCAGCCATTCTCCCCACCAGCATTTTCTTGACCAATAAGAAAGGATTTCCTGTTCTTTCTAAGATGCATCAGAGGCTCATCTTTCGGCTCCTCAAGGTGAGTGCTAGAATGGTTCTAAAAATGACCCATCTGATCCTCTTGCCTTATTTACATTTGTGTGATGCTTTTAACTGTGGGCCTCACTCTGCCTGTCTCATTTCTGGAGAGCAATTTCAATAAAATTGGTGTAGAATTGATGAGGCAAATGGCAGTAGGAGCCCCAGAAATCTTTCAAAAGAGCTTTGCAGACGCTTTCATTTAAGAAGTTACAGCAAACATCCATGGAGTAATGATGATCCTTATTTGGCGGAAGAGGACTCTCTAAATTTATTAAAACCTTGTGCTGCTTATTTGGTGGTTGGTGGGGTCACGTGGTAAAGGACTACTGGTCCTACTCTTGTCGTTTTATGCAAAGGTTTATGGCCATAAACCTTAAAAATACCCCCATAATCTTGGTGTGAGGGCTGATGGTCTTAACTTCTTTTACAGCTGGAAGTGCAGTTCATCATTACAGGTACCAACCACCACTCAGAGAAGGAGTTTTGCTCCTACCTGCAGTACCTGGAATACTTGAGCCAGAACCGCCCTCCACCCAATGCCTATGAACTCTTTGCCAAGGGCTATGAAGACTATCTTCAGTCCCCACTCCAGGTAGGTCTAGAATGCACAAAACCAAAAAACCCGCAGCCACTAAGTTGCTTGTGACTCAGAGAGATGCTATAGGACAGAGTAAGACTGCTCCTTAGGGTTTCTGAGACTAAATTTTTACAGGAGCAGACAGTCCGTATTTTTCTCTCTTGGAGTTGCAGGTGAGTTTGAACCACCTTAGGATAAGCAGCACAGTGCTCATCTCACAATATCACCCAGGCTCCTTCTGTAATGCACAGAGAGGAGGAAAACGAGGTTGGGGCTTGGGGCTAGGATGTTTCTTGAGAATAGGTAGCCTGAAACCCTTCTAAAACTTGGAAAGGTTTTTGATGTTCTGAAAGGTTTTTGATGTTCTGGTTCATTTTCCCTCCCAGAAACTGGCTTACTTTGCCTTTTCCATCTTATTCATTAGCCACTGATGGACAATCTGGAATCTCAGACGTATGAAGTATTTGAAAAAGACCCCATCAAATACTCTCAGTACCAGCAGGTATAATGTGGGTCCCAGTTTGAGACAAGCAAAGGGTCAGGGGGATCTGGGTGAGATTGGAATTACAATGAGGAGTCTGTTCCCACTGCAGCCTCCTCTCCTTCCCCCAGGCCATCTATAAATGTCTGCTGGACCGAGTGCCAGAAGAAGAGAAGGCTACCAACATCCAGTGAGTGCTATCCCTGTGATCCCAGGGACTTTCATGCCTTCTTTATTTGCAAGTCCACTTGACTCTGTCTCGTCCTCTCTCAGGGTGCTGATGGTGCTGGGAGCAGGCCGGGGTCCCCTGGTGAATGCTTCCCTTCGGGCAGCCAAGCAGGCTGACCGGCGGATAAAGCTGTATGCTGTGGAGAAAAATCCAAATGCTGTGGTGACGTGAGTATAAGTCTGCTTATTTGAAAGTTTGTGCAGATAAGTTCGTTTTCCTCATCAGTGTCTTCACCTGTATCTTTTTGTTTTAGGCTAGAGAACTGGCAGTTTGAAGAATGGGGAAGCCAGGTGACAGTAGTCTCTTCAGACATGCGGGAATGGGTGGCTCCAGAGAAAGCAGACATCATTGTCAGTGAGCTTCTGGGTTCCTTCGCTGACAATGAACTGTCACCTGAGTGCCTAGATGGAGCCCAGCACTTCTTAAAAGGTACTTCTAAGCTGAAGTGTACTGAGTATGGTGGTAGGTGGATTATCAGGTGGAAGGGGTTGGGGCAGAGGGCTGTGATGATGGCTGGGGCAGCAACCTTGGAGGAAGTTACAAGATTTCAGGACAGGTGGGTTGGATTTGGGGGCAGATCATGTAGGGAAGAGACCTATTGCTCTGCTGGCTCAGTGACTTTTAACAAATGAAGCAATCTTGAGGTCTCACTATTTATATCTGAGAGTTGAGAAGAAGACTAGAGCAGAGGTTATTAATCTCAGGTCTGTGGACTCCTGAGTTGGTGTGATGTATACCTTGGGCTTAACTTTCATCAGGATCTCAAAAGGTTTTGTGACCCACAAAATTTATGAAGCTGGTAAAGAGCTCTCTGATATCTTAGTTTACTTCCAGTTTTACTCTTTTGTGATTCTGTAAGTGGATCCCTCATGACAGGAGTTGGGAGCAGACCAGGCTGGGAATGGGAAGACATCGAGCTGCGTCTTCCTGCCCTCCCCATGCCAGCTGGGTCTGTTTTGATGGGGAGGAACGGGACGTGTACGCCTAAGTTGGTACAGACATGCCATACTATGTCTATCCCTTGGGAACTAACTTAACCCTCCTCTCCTGTAGATGATGGTGTGAGCATCCCTGGGGAGTACACCTCCTTCCTGGCTCCCATCTCCTCCTCCAAGCTGTACAATGAGGTCCGAGCCTGTCGGGAAAAGGACCGAGACCCCGAGGTAAAGAACCTCTTTTTTTTTTTTTTTTTAAGAGCCTCTGTTTTGGAAGGAAGCAGTTCTCTTTATTCCTTTTTCTGTACTAGCTTTGACTGTTTTTCTTTTACTGGAGAAGGTGAAGAGGTGGTGGAGGAGATGGGAGTGAGGGATAGCAGTTGAAGTGAAAGCATGTTTTTATCCTTTTCTGTGTCCCTGAGGCTTGCCATCTTTCCCTGGGGAAGAAGGTGTCTCTTAGCTGTCTTCTCCAGCTCACTTACACTCTTTGTTGGGACAGGCCCAGTTTGAGATGCCCTATGTGGTGCGGCTGCACAATTTCCACCAGCTGTCGGCCCCCCAGCCCTGTTTTACCTTTAGCCATCCCAACAGAGGTAAGTTCTCACATAGCTGCTCTCTGATTTCTTTCTGGCTGTCCAGGAGTACTGTAGTGAGGCATCCCTTTGTGGGTTTTGCTCAGATGTATCATGTTGCCTAGGGCTCTGGCTCCTCACCACTCACACAGCTCTTCCCTGACAGATCCTATGATTGACAACAACCGCTATCGCACCTTGGACTTTCCCGTGGCTGTGAACACAGTGCTGCATGGCTTTGCAGGCTACTTTGAGACTGTGCTTTATCAGGACATCACTCTGAGTGAGTCGGGGGATGGGCTAGGGCAGGCAATGTGCTGGGAGGGTATGAGGGTGTGCTGCCTGGGCAGCTTATGTACATCTTTGGAATTCAAGGGGGGACCCAAAGGTCAATTAGTGAAGATTGATGATTGCTTGTGTTTGTGGTCACCTTGAGGCAGAAAGCATAGTTGTGGAAATCTCATTTTTTCTCTCTCATGATTTTGTGTGCACAAAGGTATTCGTCCAGAGACTCACTCTCCTGGGATGTTCTCATGGTTTCCCATCCTCTTCCCCATTAAGGTAGGCACCACCTTTCACTCTGTAGGTCAGTGCGGAATGACTTTCACCACTGCTGTTGTGTTCCTTCCCCTTTCCCAGGGTGACACTTGGCTATCAGCCACGTTATACAGCTCTCACATGTTCTTGGATCCCTGTTGTATGATTTTGAATAAAGTCAAACCTGATAGTATTTTTCCTGCTTAAACTCCTTTGATTCTTCCCACTGATAAAAATTCAGACCATTGTTCATAAGTCTTGGCACAGATTAGTTCTTGCCCACCTTTTCGGTTACCTTCCTCCTTGAGTATATTTCTTCAGCCCTGTGGGCCTGGAATACTCTTGTCTTCTTTCTGCTTCAGGCTTTTACACCTTTTTGCTCTGGCAGGAAAGTTCTTTACTCCTCTCTTCACCCAGTTAAACTTTAATCCCAAATCTCTTCCTGTTGTCGCATAAGCTTTCCCTGATTTAGACTAGTTTAGCATTACAGTCCTTTTCATAGCACCCAACATGTGTTCACAATACTCACCACACTTGGGATTATTCATTCAGTATTCTGAGAGACTTCAAATAAGCTTCTTGTGTGTTAGAAATAGTTTTTCTTTTTAGCTCCACACCCACCTGAATACATTGCCACGTGTTATTTATTCATCTCACCCTGTATCTCTCTTTCTCCCTACAGCAACCTATTACGGTGCGTGAAGGCCAGACTATCTGTGTGCGTTTCTGGCGATGCAGCAATTCTAAGAAGGTGTGGTATGAGTGGGCTGTGACCGCACCAGTCTGTTCTGCCATTCACAATCCCACAGGCCGCTCGTACACCATTGGCCTCTAGCCCTGCCTATGAGTGTCCACAGCCTTGGGAACAGCTTCCAGTCTGCTCCTCCGCCACAGAAGGTGCAGTACATCACTGGGCTGTGACTCCCTCGCCCATCAGAGAGGAGTATTTCAGTCTGCTTTTCTGCCTTACATCAAAGTGGGCAAAGGGCCCAAGCTACCAATCTGTGAAGACGTCAGGCCAGGGGTTGAAGAATTACTGCTGGGTCTGAAGCCACATCAACTAGGCACTCAGCCTCAGGAACTACCTGGAGTAATCCTGAGAACCTTTTCATCGAATACATTTTCGGTCGTTTCCTTACCCATCTCTGTTCCCTTTTTGATGGTTCTGTGTAGGAGGAAATACAAATAAAGTCAAGTTGTGGCCTTTCCTGCTCCAGCTCTGCTACCCCCTGACTGCTCCCTTACACCTCATTCAAACCCACTGTGGTTTAGTTGATTCCACCTCATAGTGAGACCCTATAGGACAGAGTAGGGCTGCCCCATCTTTTTCTCAATGGAGTGGTTAGTGGGTTTAAACTACTTACCTTCTAGTTAGCAGCTGAGTGCTAAGTACTGCACCATTAGGGCTCCTGCATCTTCTGTTACCTCAGGCCCAAAGGGACCTAGCATTATTTCTTATTTAAGAAACCAAGTAATGTCTTGTAACATTGACCGTAGTTACAATGAGGTCTTGTTTACTAGGACCCACACTCAGACTTTTCTCTAGGGAAAAGACATGCAGCACTAGTGGATAATGAATGAGGTAGTGAGTGAAGCCAGTTTCCCTTTCTGAGCTGCTTCACTGCCAGTTCTTGTATTATCTCTTGGTAAGAAGCCACCTGCTTGTTTGAGTAAAATCACAGGATTAACTTGGTAGATGGGAAAAATAAAAAACAAAATACCAGAAGGGTTAAAAGTTTAAAGCTCTGAGAGATTATCTAGTCTAACTCCATCCTACAGAATGGAAGATGAAACGGGTACAGCATAATGTTAGTATTCCATGTCAGGACTAGAACAGGTTCTTTGACTCTGTTATAACCAACTGTATTTTGGGCAGCCATATTAGTCACCTTAAGTCAGGACTCTGGAAACCTTTAAAGTGTATTGGTAGAAATCAGTTTCTTTTGCAGGGTGAGCGCAGAAGGTGAATGCAAAAAGACACTTGAGAATCTCATTTGCCATGGGAAGTGTATGGGGCGCTGACGTGAATGGAAGGTGGCACTAGGGAATGACTGACTGGAATACGGCTGACTGGAAGATGACAAATCTGGCAAGACATGCATGTCCTAAGCATTGAATGGGGAAGAGATGGGAAGTAGCCTGCAAATAGGAACGTGGAATCCAGCATCCTCCTGAAACGTGGTTACAAAGTAGTACTGGGGAAACTGACATGACCCCCTCTACACATCTGTAGGGTTGATCAAGGACATTTAGCAATACTTTTTCAACTAGCTCCATTACCAGAGATAGTGTGGATGGGTGGATCCTTTTCTCTAGTCCTTGGCCCGCCTTCTACGTGTCATTAGCCAATAACCGTGGTGATCTCTGAGAGGTTAGCCAATCAATGGGGACTTGATGGTTGCTAAGAGACAGATTGGCTTTACCCAAGTTTAGGGTTTTAACCAATGAAAATCTACTTTGGCCTGTTGCCATGATACCAGTGAGCCTGGTTCCATTGCCGCGTAAGTGATCTGGCGCATGCGCAGATTGGAAATGATGCTGGAATCTGGCGGGGCAGCCGCCATTTTGTGGGAAGAGCAGGTCTGGCTGTAGTGCTCCTTTTATTGCTGAAACTGGGAAATAGCCGGGCTTCGCGCCCCACCCTCCCCCACACACACTCCCAAAGGAACGAAGAGAACCGGGATTCCCCCCTCTGGGACCCGGAACTGGTGAGAAACCCCGAAACCCAGCCCCCTCCCCGCAACGTCAGGAATTCGTGACGTTGCTGTACTGCGCTTCCCTTGACGTCACAGGCAGAAAATGGCGTCACGAGCAGAATCGAGCAAAATTTAAATAAAAAGCTTTTTTTTATTGTGTCTTTTGATCTGAAAGTGTTCACTACCTGCGTTTATTCCACTGGCATAATTTTAGGGACAGGCATCCTCATGGTTCTCTGAAGATGCTATTTCAAAAGGATCTCAATAACTTCCATCTCCAGTTCTTTGCAGTGCCCCAGCCAAGTCACTTATTATGTGAGACGGCCTCGTCCTGAGAAAACACAGGTTTTCAGCCCCTGGTGTCATTACTCAGAGAAATGAGGGAATTTAAATTTCTGCCCAGTCTCAATTCTCTCTCGACGCTAATACTCACTACGGTGGCCTCTATGGGCTTTCATCATCTTTCATTTTTTGACTACACATTTAGAGGTGTTGGACGCATATAATGTGGCCACGTAGGTTTGAACGCTGGGGCGCTGGGCCTCACAGTGATGGTGCCAATCAGAAGCGTAGCCTTGACTTGTTACATAGTGTGGGAAGGGCAGTCCTTTTAAGTAATGTTTTTCACTTTTTCATTGTTTCTGTTCTTAATTATGCTGCCTTCAGTTTGGAGGTGTTTGTGCGGAGGAGCTGATGCTAACATCATCATGGGATTCCAGCATGTGAATTCTGCCTGAACTGGTCTTACAGTGGTTATTAAGCAGTGAGGTTGAAGTTCTGGTTTGGGTCTTGACAGTGCTACACAAGTTCAGGCATTGGGTTAATTTTGACCGCAAGGCAGTTTTTGACAACGACCCTTGGTGGTGCAATGCTGCGCTCCGCTGTTACCGTACAAAATTTGTATAGGCTTGGCAGTCCAAATGATTGAAAGGAACGGTTTGAGAAGGAAAACCTTTATATTCAGAACCATTTTCTCACAGTGGACTAGATAGTATATAACTCTTGATAATTTATTCCCCTATACTTTGGATCAGATAGTATTTGCCTGGAACAGTGCTATTTTTGATTGCTATCTCTATAACAGGCTTAGCACAGTCCCTTGTGCATAGTGCTGTTGTAATTGTTGCTAAGTGCTGTCATAGGGACCCTATATAGAGTTTCTGAGGAGTAGCTGGTGGGTTTGAAACACCACCACTACCACCCTGAGATTAGCAGTCTAGTGTTTATCTTACAGTAACACACCAGGACCCCACATATAGTAGATACTATAAGTGATAGGTGTTATTATATAATCAGAATAAGCTTTGGGTTCTGGACACAACCAGGACATATCATTGGATGATGTATTAGCTGCTTTGAAGAGGACAAAACTCTTAATGGAAAGTCTGGTTTTGAGTCGCCTCTTTGCATGGAAATTTATCAATTTCTAATAGCTTTAAGAAGGTATATTGGTGTACAATATTATACTGCATGCATGAAAGTGTATGATTTGATGGGTGTTGATATGTGTGTATACCCATGAAGCTGTCACCACAATCAAGGTAACATGTATCAATCAGCCCCAAGTTCCCTTCTGCCCTTCTGTCCCTTCCCACCTGTTTCTGGCCATCACTGATATACTTTCTGTTGCTATTGATTAGTTTGTATTTTCTAGAATTTTATATAAATGGAATCATCCAGTGTGTACACTTGTTTTGTGCGGATTCTTTCAGCATAATTCTTTTTAAGTTTATTTATGTTGTAGCATGGGTCAATAATTGCAGACCAATATATTTCTTTCTTATTTAGAAAAACATAACCTTTAACGGAGACCTCTCCTTTACCTCATTTGTGTCCTTTCGGTTACAAGAAATCAGTAGCTGTAAGTGGTGGTTGTGTTCCTTCGAATTGGTTCCAACTCATAGCAATCCTGTATAGGGTTTCCAAGGCTGTACTTTTTTTTTTTTTTTTAATGTTTTATTGTGAATTATGTGATAGTTTACATGGGAGAACATTAGTTTTACATTCATCCTATCGTGTATCATTTCATTGCCATGGTTACAATCCCTTCCATGCATCATTAACCAATAAAAGGGTATACCGTACAAGCCTGGCCCCCGGTCATCAGCACACAGCCCCTCTTCCTCTCTGTGTCTAAAGTCCCCAGCTGCTCTCTCTCCATGTCATCGTCTCTGCCTCCATCTCAGGCATCACTGCTGCTCTGGGTAGAGTCCCGCTTTCTGCTCTTCTCCCTTGATGGTCCCAGGGACCTCCGCTCCTAGACTGGAAAGTTAATTACTCCCCTCCTTGCTACAAAAAGTCTACCTTTATATTTCCAACCTTCACAATCAGTCCTGATAATAGTTATTCACTATTGTATCACAAGAGACCTATCTGCATCTCCTTTCATCAGCCCTGCCTAGATAGATTGGATACCACTCAGTGGAGATTCTACCTTCCTCCATGCCCTCTGGATCTAGGTTTCCTCTTGAAAGCTTGTAAGCCAGTCACTTCTTGCCTTTATAGTCAACCCACCCCCCCCACCACTTTGTTGAGAATTTTTTCATCTGTGTTCATGAGGGATATTGGTCTATAATTTTCTTTCTTAGTGATGTTCTTCCCTGGTTTTGGTATGAGGGTTATGCTTGCTTCATAAAATATATTAGGAAGTTTTCCATCCTCCTCAATCTTCTGGAATAATTTGAGTAGAATTGGTGACAGCTCTTCCTTGAATGTTTGGTAGAATTCACCAGTGAAGCCATTTGTGCCTGGACTTTTTTTTGGTTGAGAGTCTTTTGATGACCTGATCAATTTCTTCTTTTGTTGTGGGTCTGTTCAGGTTTTCGATTTCACTGTGTGTAAGTTTAGGTAGGTCATGTTCATCTAAAAATGTAGCCCCCCAACTTTGTGTAGGCAGTATCCAAGTTGCCCATCCCTGTCTACTTTGTGTATGGAGGGGGTGGGAATGATCCTTGCTGTAAAGATTTGTTCCCTCTTTTGAGCTACTACATCTATAAGTGTAGGTCAAATTCATCAAATTGTATCAGATTACTCTTTTTTTCCTCTTCTTTGTTCTTCTAGTTGAGCTCTGATCATCCAGTCATTGAAGCCAGGTCAAGTGGGTATTATCTGCAAATGTGGGTGTTCTTGTGCATATGCCCTCTCTTCTTATCAGTTGGAAGCTTCACTCTCCACTCTCGTCCTCTGTGGCTGTGTCACTGACTCTGGGCCCAAGAGTCTCCAGGTCTTGCCACACTGCTGGCCAACCAGGTCTCCACCTGGATTCACAGGAGTCTATTGAACATTGTAGGGCTTAGCGCACAGCTTCATTGCCGTTTTTCCCTCACTTCCCCTTATCGGTGACGAACATGGTCACCAATCAGAGCATGTATTCCCATTGAGTCTTAGTTTTAGAAGGGGGTTTGTTCTGAGGGGACCCAACCACTTGCCTTGATGTCTCTTGGGCAAGCAACTTGCTTGTTCTTGTAGTAATCAGTCGGTCTGCCTATATTGTTTTGTATTTTTCCTGTTGGTCTTTCCTTAAAGAAGTATCTTCTGTTCTAGCTGCTCTAGGCTGGTCTGCTCCTCCTTTCAAGTGGAAATTTCCCACCTCTGAAGATTCTGGATGCTGTTCAAGATTTTACCTAATGTGTGTATACATATGTAATGCAGAGGCTCCACAGGAAGCCACCTTCACTGGGCATGTTGTAGCCCCATTTTAGGTATTCCAATCAGTTATAGGCAGAACACGGACTTACAAGCTTTCTATGGTGATATTTCTGGCTATTTCTTTCTCTCCCCCTCCAGTGTCTGTTTTATAATGCTTTGCAAGGGAAACCAAGATTCAAAGGACAGCCAAGCATCTTAACATTATTTGCCTCCTTTTCCCCATTCCAACCATGTCTCAACCCCTGTATCCCAGAGCCCTGTTGTTCCAAGGTTGTACATACATCATTCTTTACCTCTGTCCCACTTAGCCCATGCAAACCTGCCTAATTGTTCTCCCATCTGCTTTGTTCTTCCACTCTTCTCACACTTCTAGACCAATAATTTTATCCTATTGATTTTGTTTGGTATCTTATGTTATTCTTATTTGACAGATCTGTGATGAACTGTTTGGGGAAAGATAGATTGATTGCTAGATGTGAAAGCAAAAAGTCTTTCCCTGCCTGTGTAGATAGAAAGACTTCAAAACAGGATTTGTTAAGCCTGTCTTAATATTTCTGAGTTACCTGAATACTAGTTGCTATTGGACAGAAAATGCTTAGTGATAATACCCTAATTATTGGTGTTTGGGGATATGTGGGAAAGAACTTAGGGTAAATCTGTGTCTTTTTGATGTTGCTTTGCCCAGCTCCTAACTTTTACTCTTGCATCTCTACCATCTTATTGGAATTGTGTATGTATTTTTATGTTTAAATTTAAACCAAATTTTTTATTCAGGATTTTGAATAGTGAAATGGAGACCTAGTACCCATTATGGAGTCCTGGTGTGGCGCTGTGGGTTAATGTGCTGGACTGCAAAGTCGGTTTGAACAGCAAGCTCACCAGTCACTCCTTGGAAACCCTATACAGGATCACTTTGGGTTGGAACCAACTCTATGGCACTTAACAACAAGTACCCATTATAAGTGAATGGAAATTTTATATTCACAGGGTAGGGTCTATATTTTAGTATAATGCCTTTACCAAGGTGTTCAGTTTTCTTCTAGACCCTTCACCTTTTCTAAATCACAAAACAGAGCTAGTTCAAATCTATAAGGTGCAAACATAAGTTTAAGGTGACCAACAGCTGGTAAAATCACTCTGAAGTTCAGGAAACAGAACTATGTATCTGATGTCAGTTTCTTGGAGCGGGAAGGGAATGTGCTAGAAGGGGAAAAAAATAAGAGGTTCTTATGTGTCAGTATCCTCTCCTTAGATTCTGACACGGTGGCATCTGATGACTTTGATATAGTGATTGAGGCCATGCTGGAGGCTCCCTATAAAAAATATGAGGTAATATTTCCCACCTAATTTCAGCATTTTATGATTCTCCTTTCCCTATTTATTATATGCAACTATTTATAAAAAGGTGTAAGCTTTTAGTTAGCTCTTCTGGGGACCTCATACCTTAGGGTCATGCTTTTAGAAATGGCCTTAATGACCAGGGTGGGAGCATAAGGTGGTGGGAATGAGTACTTTATTCATAACTCTTAAGTGATGTATTGGGAAGTCGGTATATCTCATACCTACCTATAAATTTCTCACTCTCCTGGGAAATAAATGTCATTGGAAACAGATGTCAGGTGGCTAAAATTTTGACATCAGAATGTGTCATTCTTATTTTTTTCCTTTTGGGTACTTTTATTGCTTCCTCTTAAGCCACCACACACACACACACTCACACACACACTCACACACACCCCTCACTTTCAAACACTGCTCAGTCATTGAGAGCTTTGATTTGATTTCATGGGCTTGCTCTCTTATTCACCTTGTTCTTTCTTTGCCCCATGGAATTGGTGTGTCAGCCGCCATGACAATTTCCTGGTGAACCCCTCAGGAAGAGCAGCAAAGGAAAGAGGGTAAAAAGGAAAGTCCTAGCAATACTGCTACCAGCTCCAGCAGTATTAGTGACAATGGCAGTGGGACTAGTGTGAGCAGCACCAGTGTGGAGACAAGCAGGTGAGGGATGGAAAAACAGGCTGGTGACTTGGGAATGGGAAACATCTGTGGACTCTGGAGAAAGACGCATAACAGGAAGGTAGTGACTCTGAAGACTGCTGACTTTTAGTAATGGATTCACTGTGTTATGGGAAGAGTTGTGCTAGTCTGATGATCTAGTCTGTAAACTTTCCAGTGTAGACTTGGGGACCAGTCCTAGCATTGGTATATTTCATTTGAATACAATAGCAAGAGAAGTGGTGACAGCAGAGTTGGTATCATGGAAAGACAGAGGAGCTATGGATTAGGCCCATGGACTGAGTAAGGCTTTGGGAGTACTAGCATGAAGCTGGTTTGGAGAATGTGCCCTTTGGACTTTTGAATGTATATTTTTTGTTTTGCTTTGCATGTGTGTATAAAATACTTCTGCTTTGTTAATTTGTGACATTTAAGATGAAAATGGGGTAGGTGAATTCTCGGTTGTATGTGTGTTAGTTATATCATGTTAGGTACAAATATGACTACATTTTTCTTAATTTAGAGATTATATATTTAGTTTATAAGTTGCAAGTTGAAAAAGATGGACTATAATAGTTAGGGTTCTGTGTCGATGTGACTAGACCAAGATTTCCACAGTTTCAGCAGTTGGGATTCCCATGGTGATAAAACCTAATACTGTCATAGTTAGCTCTCTGATGAGTGGCTGTGAGTAGCCAATCAATTAAAGGAATGCTTCCTCGCAGTTGTCGTCTGCTTCCAATGTAATGCATGTGGGAAGGACTCTCTCTCTGTTCTTCTGGGTATATGGGACTTTACAATTGCAAGATAATAAACTTACATATTTATATATTTCACTGGTGAGAACAAAATATATCTGTTATGGCAATTACTTCTCATAACTGGAAAGCATTTTAATCACACCCAACAATATTGATGACCAACTGAGTGATGTTTGTTTACTAGACTGTGAGTGTCTCATATTAGACTAAATGTCTTAAAAGTCAATATCCTACTTTCTTCTTTGTATTTCCAGTACATATGACAAGGTCCTCAAATAGCAGACCCTCAAATAAAATGCCTGGATGAGTATACTAAAGAATACTACAGTGCTGCTATCACAAAGTTGATCTTCATGCATACCATATGCCATTACCTTACTTTGATTTTAACAAAATTGAAAAGTATCTTCAAGATAATTGATTTAAAATTAATTAGTTCAGACTCATTTATCATTTTTCTAATAGGGACTCAGTTTAGATTTATACATCTCTTGTAGCTTGTAACCCACAAGTGTTTTTTTCTGTGCTCGTTTAAGTGCCTTCTATAGCGTAGTGGTTACGAATCGGGCTGCGAACCTTAAGGTCAGTGGTTCGAAACTACCAGCCGCTCCACGGGAGAAAGATGAGGCTTTCTACTCCCGTAAGGATTTACACCCTCGGAAACCCTGTACAGGGTCGCTATGGGTCGGCTCCGACTCGAAGGCACTTAACAACAACAACAACATTATTATAATAATTTTTGTATGTACATTTGGACCCCAAAATATTAAACGTATTTGCCAAATATGGCATCAGGATTGGAGGAAGACTTATTAACAACCTGCAATATGCAGATGATACAACCTTGCTTGGTGAAAGTGAAGAGGACTTAAAATGTTTACTGATGAAGATCAAAGATCACAGCCTTCGGTATGGATTGCATCTCAATGTAAAGAAAACAAAAATCCTCACCACTGGACCAATAAACAACATTCTTATCAACAGAGAAAAGATAGAAGTTGTCAAGGACTTCTTTCTTCTTGGATCAACTATGAACACTCATGGAAGCAGCAGTCAAGAAATCAAATGACGTATTTCATTAGGTAAATATGCTGCACAAGACCTTTTGAAAGTGTTGAAGAGCAAAGATGTCAGCTTGAGGACTAAGATGCACCTGACCCAAGCCATGGTATTTTCAATAACCTCCTATGCATGCGAAAGCTGGACAGTGAATAAGGAAGACCACAGAAGAACTGATGCTTTTGGGTTATGGTGTTGGAGGAGAATATTGAAAGTGCCATGGGCTGCCAAAAGAACCAACAGATCTGTGTTGGAAGAAGTTTAACCAGAGTGCGCCTTGGAGGCCATGATGGCCAAACTTGGTCTCTCATACTTGGGACATATTGTCAGGAGGGACCAGTCGCAGGAGAAGGATATCATGTTTGGTAAGGTGGAGGGTCAGAGAAAAAGAGGAAGACACCCAGCGAGATAGATTGGCAAAGTGGCAGCATCAATGACCTCAAGCGTGGCAACAATTGTGAGGTTGACCCAGGACCAGGCAGTGTTTTGTTCTGTTGTACATGGGGTCGCTATGAGTTGGTACCAACTCAGTGGCACCTAAAAACAACAACAATAAAGTCCTTTTTCTCTACAAAAATAAAAAAGTAAAATAGCAAGAGAACCTCTGACTGGAAACACCAGCTTTTGCTTGTCTTTGGGGGATCTTTCAGGTACATGACTATTCAGGGTTGTGTAAGTTGGTGTTGTGTAAGTGCTGCAAACTACTACTAGATAGTGTTCTGGGCTTTGGATTTTCTTGCTTCTGTTTCATTCACCCTTGTTGTACTGTCTTTCCTTGTCTTTGGTAAGACTTTACACTGTTCTTCGCAGGAAGAAGAGGAGTCAGAGCCATAGTAGAAGCAGAGATAGAAAGCGCAGGTCAGTAATTCTCGGGTTGCTGGGTTTTGTGAATTACCATAAATGGAAAGATATCAGGGGAAGCTCTATATTAAAGGCCAAAACGGATTTGTTTGCTGTTTAGCAAACATAATAGTGATTTCTATCTGTAGATGAAGTTGGGATTAGGATCATCATAGACAGAGAAAGAGCCGGAGCTGAAGTCAGCATTGGCAGTATCATTATCTCTGGGATCCTCGATATTGTTGTTTGTCACGAAGTTGGGACCGACATCAGGAGAATCACTTGTACTACAGGAATCCACCTCTTGCCACTGGGTATCACCTTCTGCTAATAAGAACACATTTGTATTGTCATTTGGGTTAAAAAACAAATGCGCTATAAGCCAGTTGCCATCAAGCTCCTCATGGTGCATGGTGCATGGTGCATGGTGCATGGTGTATGGTGAATCAGTGAAATGTGCTCCATAGAGTTTTCTTTCTTTCTTTTTTTTTCCACTGGATTTTCAATGACTTACTTTTCAGAAGTTCACTAAGCCTTTTTTCTGAGGTGGTTCTGGCTGGATTCAAACTGTCAACCTTTTGTTGAGCAGCCAAGGGCATTAACCGTTTCCACTACCCAGGGAATCCTGAGTACATTATGGACCCTGCCTAAGAGTACTTACGACTGATTGTGGTAGACAGATACTCAGTTATTAGAGGGATGGTGGTTTTCTCATGATGGAAGACCCAGCATTTGGTGGGACACATAAAGTTTGGTGACACAATTTTTGGTTTTGTTTTTCTCTGTTTCTTAGGCATTGGTATGGACACAGTAAGAGTCATCATTTCAGGGAGAAAAGTCCTGTCAGGGGAGTTGATATTATCACTTTTACAGGAATTGTGAAGTATGAATGACAAAGGTTTAAGCAAAACTACAGGAATATGTAATACTTGAGAGTTAGCTGGAAAATAATGACCAAGTATTGAAAGAGTGGCCTCATATTCACTCACTTCTGTAGGGAGCCAGTTGATAATCTGAGTCCTAAGGCACGTGATGCCCGCACAGTTTTTTGTATGCAGTTGTCTGCCCACATTTGGCCTCGAGACTTGGAGGACTTTTTCTCTGCTGTTGGCAAGGTAACGCCTCCCTTTTAATTTTTTTCTCTTATAAACAATCTATCCTCTATTCCCTTTTAGGGGAGCTCCATAAAGTAAGCACAAGGTTGGTGGTTCAAGCCCACCAGCTGCTCTACAGGAGAAAAATGAGATTTTTGTTCTTGCAAACATAAAAATGTTTTGGATACCCTATACAGGGTCACTATGAGTGTGATCTGATTTGAAGGCACTTAAACAAGTTCCCTTTTATACCCGACTCAGGATTTCCTGTCTGTCCTAGATAGGTTCATGATATATGTATCATCTCAGATTGGAATTCATGTCATTCTAAGGGCATTGCCTATTTGGAATTCTGTGAAATCCAGTCTGTGCCACTGTCCATTGGGCTGACTGGGCAGTGGCTGCTGGGAGTACCTATCATTGTGCAGGAGGCTAAGGAACTGACAGAAAATGGGAGTGGAAGTGGAGGGTATGGGACATGACCCGTCATTTCCTCCTCCAGGCTGAGAAAAACCAATTGGCAGCCATGGCCAACAACCTGCAGAAATGCAGTAATGGACCAGTGTGCCCTTATGTGGACTCTCTGCACTTCAGTATCACTGAGGACATGCTCCGGGGCATCTTTGAGCCCTTTGGCAAAATGAGTAGAAAGTGAAGGAATACTTAGAAGTTTAGAAAAAGTGATTAGCCCACAAGTTGCATTCATCATAATAGGCATTTGGGTCCATGCTATATTCATGCTTCTTAGTAGGCAAAGGAGTGAGACTCACCAATGAAATAAAATAACGGGGTCCAGATTGAGTAAAATTAGGAGAGATGTAATGTTGACTAGAAAGTTAGAGGTGTTTAGGATAGTGTAGGTAGAAAAAATCAAAGGTGTTGGCTAGCCAGAAAAATGACTCATCGTTCCTTCTTATTCTACAGATTGGTGGTATTGTCTTGATGAAGGACTCAGATACAGGTTACTCTAAAGGTTTTGGTTTTATTACGGTGAGTCTCTTCTTTCTGTTTTTGTTTTAGGTTGCTTTGTCCACTTGTCTGATTTTGCAGCTTAGCTCCTTTAGGAACTGTCTGAGTGACCCATAAACACTGGGGATTGAGCTCGGACTAGCCTTATGCCTCTTTAGATGAGTACGTTGCTTGAGATCTTGACTTTATGCCTATTTTCTGTCAGTGGTCCTGGCCTGGGGGTGTCCAGGAGTTTAGCCAGCTTTACTGGGGCCATAGCTTGCTTTTTGGGTAATAGTAATGATTCCAGGCTACAGCTGAAAGAGGTTGGGGGCAGGAGGGAGGTTAAGTGTGAACTTTAAAAAAGATATGCATTATAGAATTGGTAGCTACTATGTTCATCTCGTGATAAGGATAGGAATAAAAAGTTATACTTCCTCACCCAGGAGACATCAAGGCAAGTGGTCGGATCCCCTCAGAGCAAACCCCCTTCTAAGACTAAGACTCAGTGGGAATACACGCTCTGATTGGTGACCACATTCATCACTGATAAGGGGAAGTGAGGGAAAAACAGCAATGAAGCTGCAAGCTAAGCCCTACAACATTCAATAGACGTCTGTGAACCCAGGTGGAGACCTGGTTGGCCACCAGTGTGGCAAGACCTGGGGACTCTTGGGCCCAGAGTCAGTGACATAGCCACAGAGGACAAGAGTGGAGAGTGAAGCATCCAGCTGATAAGAAGAGAGGGCATATGCACAAGAACATCCACACTTGCAGATAATACCCACTTGACCTGGCTTCAGTGACTGGATGATCCGAGCTCAACTAGAAGAACAAAGAAGAGGAAAAAAAGAGTAATCTGATACAGTTTGATGAATTTGACCTACACCTATAGATGCAGTAGCTCAAAAGAAGGAATAAATCTTTACAGCAAGGATCATTCCCACCCCCTCCATACACAGAGTAGACAGGGATGGGCAACTTGGACATAGGCTGTCCAAAATGGGGGACACTACAAAGGCAAGAAATGACTGGCTTACAAGTTTTCAAGAGGGAACCTAGATCCAGAGGGTGTGGAGGAAGGTATACTCTCCACCGAGTGGTATCCAATCTGTCTGGACGGGGCAGATGAAAGGAGATGCGGATAGGTCTCTTCTGATACAATGGTGAATAATATTTATCAGGACTGATTGTGAGGGTTGGAAATGTAAAAGTAGACATTTTGTAGCAGGGAGGCAAGTGATTGACTTTGTAGTCTAGGGGCAGAGAAGTCCCAGGGACCATCAAGGGAGAAGAGCGGAGAGTGGTGGCGCCAGAGATGGAAGCAGAGAGGATGACGTGGCGGGATGGAGTGGCTGAGGACTTTAGACCCAGAGAGGGAGAGGGTCTGTGTGCTAATGGGCAGGCTTGCAGGGTATACCCTATCATTGGTTGATGATGCATGGAGGGGATTGTAACCATGGCAGTGAAACTGTGTACGATAGGATGAATATAAAACTAATGTTTTCCCATGTAAACGATCACATTAAAAAAAACTAATTAAAAAAGGAAAAAGTTACACTTCCCTCTGGTGTTACCCCTATTGAAAAAGTTTCATCACTGAGAAGGACCTTTATATTTAAATAGCACTATAGAGAAATGGAACTCTGGTAGCGTAGTGGTTACGAATCAGGCTGTGAACCTCAAGGTCAGCAGTTTGAAACTACCAGTTGCTCCATGGGAGAAAGATGAGGCTTTCTGCTCCCGTAAAGATTTACAGCCTTGGAAACCCTGTTCAGGGTTGCTATGGGTTGTAATTGACTTGATGGCACATAACAACATAGAGAAATGTAAGTCTGGCTGTGGTGCTGTAGGATAAACACTGGACTGCTTACCAAAAGGTCAGTGGTTCAAACCTACCAGCCGCTCCTTGGAAACTCTATACAGGGTCGATTTGAGTCGGAACTGACTTGATGTCACTTAACAATAGGGAATTGAGGTTCCCTAACAGTGGCACTCTAGCAGAGTGGTTTCCAGTTCTCGTAACTGATTCTTCCAGTCTCATGTGACTCCAGGGTGATGAGGACTGACTCTCAGCCACAGAGTTTGATAGAAGCTGATGCTTTCTGGGCTCAATCCAGGCAGCACCCCCCCACCCCCTACCCCCGGCCCCATATCATGGAAATTGCTCACCTAAGAAGTATCCACTAGTGGCAGACCACTTACACCACCTGCTTAGGAACTGTTGGTAGCATGCACTTGGCCTTAGGGATAAGGCAGATAATACCAGATTAAACAAAGCCAGCTATGGTGGTGAGGATTCCATGGTAACTAGTATTTTTTTCTAGCTTCCTCTGTGATTCACATGCAGAAAGGCTTCTGTGGGGCCTTTTTGCCCTTGTGTAGCAGGCAGCCTTCTAGGTCAGCAACCTTCACAGTGACACAAACAGCTGACTGGGAATCCTCTTTATACCAAGTGTGCTGCTGCCCTCCTCCTGAAAGGGACTAGAGTAGAAGTCATCTGGTTAGCAGGTCTCTGAGTCCGCAGCACTGGTGTGTATGTGGGTGGGGGTCTTGTGCCAGGGTATGTTCCTTCCCATGGCAGGGCTTTAGAGTTCCAGATTGCTAGTCCTTGACTAAGAACTGAAACTGAGAAGTCCTTGGAACTGAATAAAAATCCAGGAGCCTTGGCTTTTCTTATGTCTGACTTCCCATTCTGTGGGCCCCTTTGTAAAACTGCTGGTCAGCTTAAGTTCCATCCAGGTAATAGACTTTGTACATTGTTAGATTCTCAGTGGCGCTTGGAAATTGGAAAATGGTTGACATTGCTTTGATTGGAAAAGGTCCTTTCCAGAGAGCCCTTTTGGGAGATGAGATCATAGGGAAATCGAAGTTTGTGCCCCAGTGAGCGTGCAGTTTTCCTGAGATAGTGAACAGGGGGATTAATAGGGTTTTGGAAGCATCTCTCTGGCCAGGAGGTGAACTAATAGAGTTTCTTGTAGTTCTCTGACTCTGAGTGTGCTCGGCGGTCTCTGGAACAGTTAAATGGCTTTGAGCTTGCTGGCTGACTTGGCCATGTGACTGAGCTCAGACACCACGTTTCCTGATGGGGAGCAGGAGCTAGGTGGTCGTTTACAGCTCTGGCCAAACTGGCAGAAGGTAGAGTACTTCTGCAGGGTGAAGAACATGGCACTGAATAGTTGAGATCCAGGATTGGAGTTTACCTCCACCTTTTCTTCTTTTAGGCTCTGGAATCAAGCTGCCTGCTACCCTGCACCTGAATGGAAGAGTTCCCTTAGGGACTCTGAACCCAGCAGCTCTGACTGGGATTTGGAAAAGGGAGAGAGAGGGACGGGGCCTGGAAATAAGGAGAATTGTACTATGCTCACTCACTATCTCTGCCTCCCTTTACTTAAGCTCTGAGTCCGGCCCTGAACCTGGCCTCCCAGACAATCACCTCTCAATGCTTCCTGCTCTCCAACCTCTTTACTCCTAAGATCGTGAGTCTCAGGGCCTAGCCCTAGCCCATTTTAGTCTTTGGTTATTCTCTCTTCTTTGGCTTCCAGTTTACGTCTCCTCTCCTCTTCTTACCACAGGTATTCAGTGGCCCAGTACACTGCCTCCCTGGGCCTCTGGGTCCCACCACTCTCTTCCCCAGTCCTTTCTCTCCAGTGTATGGACCAAGCCATCTTTAGGGTGTGGACATTGACTCTGGGGGGATTGAGACCACTCTTGGACACCAAGAAGAGCTCCTGTCCATGGTTTCACTGAGAATGGACTCTGCCAAGCAAAGTCCCCAGGCTAAAGAAGGCAGAATTGACACCTGCGTTGAATATGTGTCTCCTTGGATGACTTTTATTACCCTTTCCAACCACCTCTTAGTGATTCCTCCCTTCTCCCACTGGGAAGGTCACAAGGTACCAATGGAACAAACTTACCTCTCACCTTTTCCTACACTTTTACCCTATAGTCTGTCAAAAAACAGACAAAACAACAACAAACTCTTAGGATCTCTGGGGCTAGAGGACTTTGAAGTTTAAAAATAAACCTTAAAGGTGCTGGCTTGCTGCTACACGGGCCTTGGAAGAAGATGTGAATATGACCTTTGACCTCAGCATGGGGCTGGACCTACCTGTCACAGTGTCTTGCTGGGAGTTGTAGGAGGAATTTATCCTGTGAGGCATTTGGGACGATTGAAGGTAGTTCAGGAGATAAGTGAAGGTAGAGTATCTTTCCATTGTCTTTTTACTTCCTTCATTTAATTGTCCTTCCTCTCAGGTCCTCCCTTTGGCCCTGGTGGGAGGATGACAGGGAGGCTGGTATTCCCCACCACTTCTTGTGTACCTCTCCTGTAGGGTCAATCCTGGCAGTTAAAGCCATTCCTAACCCCTGCCACTGGATTCTATACTCTGGTGTCTTTGTATGTAAGTATATATAGATATATGAGCTTTATATGAAAGGCACCCCCCTCCTGTCATGGTGGCTGCTGCCCATATGTAGGAAGTCTCTCTTGGTCAATCAATGTGTCTATCAGCTTTTAACTTATATGGGCCCAAACCATGAATGGTCCTAGGGTTATAAAACATTTGTAATGCCATTGTGTTTTCTTTACATCCTTTTTATATTGTTTTATTTAACCGTTTTTAGAAAGAAAAATAGAATTCATGCTTGGTCTGGGTTCTGTGTCTGAATCTGGCCCACACTGTGGTCCCAAATGCAGACTCCCATGAGCCATCTCCTTGCCTTTCCACCAGATGGCAGTGTGACTAGCACATTCTACATCTTGCTCTAGAGGTGTTTCCTGATCTCCAGGAGATTAAGTACCAGAGAAACCTCCTCTGAAGCTCACCATTCTACCCTGTTGGCCTCTGTACCTATCTTTAGCGCTCTGTGTAGTACAACTCCCAGCCCAGTATACAAAGGGGTTTGGGCATTTGCTCATCAAGGCACTCTTGACCTGCTATCTACTACTGTGCTTAGGGCAGTCCCCACAACTCTTGCTTTCCCATAACTCTTGAATTCCTGGGGTGGGGAATTCAGAAAACTTTGAAGAACAGCTCTTTGAAGGGGAGATTCACCTTCCTCTGTCAACTTTGGGAAGCTTTAACCTGGGAAGAGCCTGGCTTATTAGCATAAGCAACAAGGACCACAGGCCCAGGGCAGGGCTCTGTGGGGCTTCCTCCATTCTTTACTGATCTCTATGGCAACTGAATGCTATGATTTTATTATCATGCTAAAAATATAGGTAATTGCTGTTGGGTTTTAATTTTTTTGTCAGTTCTCAAATTTCTTAAGTGTTGTGATGGCCTTGTGGTAACATAAGCCTCTAGGGTTGCTTTAACACCAAATCATTTATGTGCTGGTGGCCTGCTTGTGGCAGAAAAGGTCTCTGGCACCTAGAACTAGCTCTGATACTTTAGACCACTGCTGTCACTGGCTGCTGCTATTCCCTGCACCTCCACCCCTTCCAGTCCTTTTCTCTCCGAGCTCTCACTCTTTGGACTGGGAGCAGGGGAAAGAAGATGCACTATTTTTAGGTAAAAGCTTTTGGCTGGGGCCCAGTCCCCCTGCAATTATTGATTTGGCTGCTAATGCATCCTGACCATCCTTGTTAGTCATCCTGAGGCCATGGACCAGGTCTCCTCCTGGCTGGCTTGGACTCCAAAACTTAAAAATAGCCATGGGCCTGCCTTCGCTGACCTCCTGCCCAGATGAACCCATCTCAGCTTGTTTTCCTTATGTTTCCATCCCTATCTCTTGCCTTCCTGCATTTTAGCCCTTACACCTTACACCTTAGTACCTGTTTCCTGCTCTTATTGCTTACACAGCTTCTTGCTGGGTGGAAGTAAAGATATAATTGCAACAACTTCTGCTTAGGTCTTAACCCATATAAGGTAACGGTGTCTAGTGGGTGACAGCCAATGTCATTGTGTGTGACTCAGTGCCTTCGTGTTACTCATCCGTGTATAGGGGGTGTTTGGAATGGAGAGAAGGGGAAGCCTGCCTCCACCTCTCCTGCGTGAACATGGAAACTGTTTTGGGGTACAGGTGAGACTGGCTCAGATCCTGAAGCTGGCATGGTTAGAATTTCCCCATCAGCCCATTATCTCTAAATTGGATTGTCACCTGATTTAGCTTCTGTCATCTAGGGTCCTGTGATTTCTTCCCTGTCCTTTGAACTGCTGTGTCCTTGGCATTGGGATTCTGCCTACTTTCATTCTAGGCAGCAACAATCCTCAGAGGTGAGCTACCAGTAGAAGTAAGTGCTTGACTTGTGAACCTTTTAGTCCTGGTACTTACAATGAAGGGAAATGAGTAAAAATCAGAAGGAAGAAATACCATAGCCTCACCCTTCCCTGTTACGGTAAGGGTCTGGTGAGAATCATGGAGTTGTAAGACTTGGGTGGTGAAAAGAGGCTGTGAAAAGTGAGGCAGTAACAGGATTGGTTGTAGGCTAGCTATTTTTCAGGAGCGCTAGTGGCACATGGTTTGAACCCACCAGTGGCTCCTCAGGAGAAAAGACCTTGATCTGCTCCCATAAAGATTCCAAACTTACTACCATCTAGTCAATTCTGACTCATTGACCCTGTGAGGGCAAACTAGAACTGCCTCTTAGGGTTTGTGAAGCTTTTAAGTCCTTATAGAAGTAGGTTACCACATCTTTCTCCTGTGAAATGGCTGGTAGGTTTATACCATTAACCTTTTGATTAGAAGCCAATGCTAACCACTGGAGCTCCTTCTAGTAAAGATCCTTGTTGTTGTTCTTAAGTGCTGTTGAGTTGTTTCTGACTCATATTGATTCCATATAGGGTTTCTAAGGAGCGACTGGTGAGTTGGAATCGCCGACCTAGTAGTCCAAACTGACCTTGCGGTCCAATCCAACAACACCACACCAGGACTCCTTCCGGAAATATTACAACCTAGGAAAGCCTATGAGCAGTTCTACTCTGTCCTATGGAGTTGCTGTGAGTCAAAACCAACTTCACACATAACAGATGCTGTTCTTATCACTTTATATGTATTATATCGTTTAATCATCACAACAACCCTCAAGTAGATTCTTTCTTTAGTTTCACTTTATACATGAGGACACTGAATACTCAAAGAGGTTAAATAACTTGCCCACAGTCACACAAGTTTGGGATTCCAGTCCAGGCAGTCTGCTTTCAGATTCATTGATCTTAGCCTTTACTTGCCTCAGCACCTAAGGAAGCTAAAGATCTGCAAGTCAGTAGAGAAGTATCCCCCTGTGTCTGTACACAGTTCTCAATATATCCTAAATGTTTTTACTGGTCTCTGCACCTCCTATTCCCTCTCTCTTCCCTACTCCTGCCCATCAAAATCTTGTTCTCTAAGATCCTGAAGGTTTCCCAGTTAAGAGTTAACGCTCCTTTAAAGGACTGTTGGTCATGTTATTGGTCTAATTCTGTTCTTAGATGCAGTTCATTGCAGACCGATGCCTGATGAGATCAGTCATAGAGCTTGTCCTTTTCACTATTGCATTGCTTCGCTCATAGTAAATGTCTTTTGATTTCATTCTTCATTAAAACCAGATCCAGACTTTCCAAAACCTGTCCCTTCTAGCCTGCTTTCCCCAGCAACCTCATCCATTTCTTCCTGACTCCTGTAAGAGAGAAGATGCAGCTTTATTCTTTTTTTTTTTTGGCGTTGCCATGGTAGCCTGTGATGCTTTCTGTCTGAAGTTCTGCTTGCCATCTACCAGAGACTGATGTTTCTATGGTAACCAGGTGAAGTCAATAGTCGTGAGCTGAATACAGGAAAGGAATTCTGGTCTGAGACACTATGTGTCTGAATCTTCTGGCTTCAGACATCCCTTCCCCTCTCTCCCACCTGTGTAGTCTATATCAAGACTTGGTTTGATCTTATGGTGTGTCCTGGTTGAGAGTCCTGTGAGTGTGAGGTGAAGCAAACCAACCCATTTAGATCACATGAATGAGCAAAGAAAGAGCTGTTTAAAGATCACTTTTAAAAGTTGGATGAGTTCAGCTAGCTGTTCCAGATGATCTCCTCTCAAGAGCCCTTAAGGAGTTGGCTGGAGTTACTGGAGAGCCATTAAGCAGTTATTTTTGAGAACTATGGATGAGGTGCAGTGGATGAGGTGCCTGAAGACTGGAAAGGAGCCAGTCAGTATCCGATTGTAGAGAAGGGAAACTATGACCTTAGAAGTCAGAACTTGTCAAACTTGCCAGTGTTCTACAAAGGATGAGAACTTCTCTTTAGTCAGCTTCAAGCATTGTGAGTGGGTCTGAAAGTTGGCCTCCTGGGCCCAGCCAAGCCAGGAGACCTTCCATCCTGTTGCAGAATGGCCACGCTCTAGAGACAGACTGCATGATTTAGGTCCTTCCTTTGTCACAAACTAGCTGAGTAAGCGTGGGTAAATTATTTCATTTCTCAAACTCAGAATCCTCATCTGTAAAAAGGAAATTATAGTAGTACCTATCTTACAGAAATGTTGTAAGGACTAAATGATAGTGTAAAGGCTTCAAACTTGTTAGCT